TTGTTTATTCATTCAACCAATATTTATCTAGTGCCCCCTTTTGTTATATACTACTTTAAGATCTAGGAGGTACAATTCAATGGGGGAAAATTACCATATATATATTCACCATTTCAGTTGGCAATTCCAATTTCCTTTTGTCCTTAGAGTCATTCTTTTTTTTCTTTTCTTTTTTTTTTTTTTTTTTTTTTTTTTTTTTTTTTTTTTTTTTTTTATAAAGAGGAAGAGAGAGAGAGAAACATCAATGATGAGAAAGAATCATTTATTGGCTGCCTTTTGGACACCCACACTGGAGATTGAGCCCGCATCCCAGGCATATGTCCTGACTATGAATCAATCGGTGACTTTCTGGTTCATAGGCTGTCGCTCAACCACTGAGCCAAGCCAGCTAGGCCTTGGAGTCATTCTTGACTTCTTGCTTTCTCTTGCATCCCACAAGTAATTTAATACCATATCTTGTTAACTTTACCTTCAAAATGTGTTCAGAATCCAATCACAACTTTCACTGCCAAAAGCATATATATAGATAGATAGTATGCTATATTACATTTATGTTTTAATGCATATACTAACAAAAAAGACTTTTAGATTCAAAAATAGTAATTAAAGATTATATATACTCTTTCCTCTTGAAATATCTGGTTATTAGACTATACTCTCTATTACTTTATAGGAAATATTATCAAATAACTATATTCTATTTTCCAATTTAAAAACAATGTTTCATTTTAGTTTTTTTTTTTTTTAATTTAAACCTTCATCATGCTATTGTGATATGTAGAAAACAGAAGGAAGAAATATTCAAATGTTTGGGTTTGTGGAGTTTTGTTTTTTGCATTTATACCTCACATTTTTCTTAAGTGACTCATGTCAGCTCATTATATACAGATATTAACTAATATAACTCATCCTAGTAAGTAACTGCTATTCCTGAAATTATAGTTGAGAACTAGTAAATATTTCTGCCTACTAAATGTTGTTGCCTTTGGTTATTGTCATTTGAGGGGCTTTATATCTGTTGATTAAACTTTTTTTATTAAAAGGGAAAAAACTGCATCTTATTAGATCTCTCTGTATCTCTATTTTTAAGTGCTATTTACATTTCCTACTATTATCTTTGGGGTACTTTCTAGAAATAGCTTGCCATACATTTAGAGGAGAACAACTTGCTTACATTCTCCTAAACACTGTTCTTGATGATGATATCTGGTGGATCCTGATACATCTAACAGTCAAGTTTTATCTATTACCCAAGGACCTGCTGTCTTTACTCAGTTTCCTTTTGATGGCTAATATAAAGATTATTCTTAGTTTGAATAAGGTGTTTTTACTATAAAATACCATGTAATATGCTAGGAGTTACTGCTAGAGTAAAATTAATTATACAAGTTTAGATTAGGTAATGATCACAAAAAATGGATTTTTTTCTTTACTTTCCTTTTATATTCAAGTGAAAGGTCTCCTCATCCTATTTTTTTTAATGTTTCCTTTTTAACAGATTAAAACTCAGTGAAATTAACTCAACATGGAGACTCTTAATATTCTGTGATTAAGTGGCACTATTAGATACTTCACTCTATTAAGGCACATAAACCCATGAGTAACAATGAATCCTTTGAACATTTGTGTCTGCCAATTCTGATGCATTGTTTTGCTGGCTACACAGTATATCTATTTATATATTGACAACATTATTTTGAACATAACCTGATAAGTTTATTCTCCATTTTTTTTCAAGGCCAAAATTTAAACACTATTTTTCAGCATTCCATCCTTTAGATGTTGTGATCTCTCTGGAGAAGAGAGAAGCAAGCAAAGATATTAGATGACACTAAGTGAGGGATTGAAATACTTAAAAAATATAGTGATATCAGAATTCTTCAAAGGGACAAAATATTTTCTCCTTAAGTATATTGAATCATGCTTTATTGGATTTTTGCTTGGCATATGGAATGTAGTTTTAGGTATTAAGGCTTTATTATAAATATTAGTCTCTAGAAAATGTGTATGTGTTAAATGATTGAATTTTTAAAGTATTGCAGGTAAAGCGAAAACATACTTGTCATACTTGTTTATCTTTTTTTTCCCCCCTCAACAGCCAAAAGTATCCACCATCAATGACTGTTTATGCTTGGGCTATTTATTTATTACATTAATGAATTTTACTGCAGATAGAGAAAATTATCTTATGAAAGCTAACATTATCCCACAGTCTAATACATGTAATGCTTACTAACTCTTTGATTATAAACATAATCAAAGTTTGCTCTAGAAAATTTCAAAAAAGAAGTTTGTGATGTACAATCTAATAAATTCTCCTTAGAAGTGATCACATTTTTTATTACATAAGAATTTTATTTGTTTTTATAAACTTGAAGAAAGCTTAAATGTTTTCATTTAGGCATTTGAAAAACAGCTTTGTAGGTAAGGTGGTTTATAAAGCAGAATATGCTTTGACCTTTACAATGATAAATATATCTATCTGTATGGCACTCTTCAGAAAACTAGAGGGCTGAAACCAAAGTACAGATGTAACTTGATTACATTATATTTTAAATTGGGGAATTGCTTTGCCTTTACAAGTGCTTTACAGACGTTAGAAAGTGCAGGTGAGTAGTTCAAAGGAAGTAAATTCACCCTAGAGGTCAGTATATTTCCCCAAACTGACCCTTATTTTGAGGGATTGAAGATTTATCCAGGTTAGACTAACCATTTAGAAAGCCAACCCTTCTGACCAGAGTATTATAATCATATTATATTTAACAAATAAATTCTGAAACTTAGTGGGAGGAAATAGCTGCTGTATTCTTCTGCAACAAATTCTAGCAGTAGTATTTTCCACTTAGCATTGATTGTATTTACATATGTAATCAATGTATTTTTAATAGAAAAAAATACAATTCAGAGACATAAGAGCTCAGAAATTTAAAACATCATTTTTATTTTTAGTCAGATAATTTAAAAATTATTCAACAAATCATAGCATATTTAGTTTATTAATTAAATTATAACTCATTTATCATAGATAAGACCAACAATTAGAGTATCTGGTGAAAGCTTAATCTAAATTCATTGTTTCCAAACATATTTCTGTATAATGCTCAAGGTTTGAGAAAACAAAATTTAAAAATGTCTGTTAACTCCAACCTAGCCAGTTTTTACTTTTACTGTTTCTCTCTCTCTCTGTCTCTTTCTCTCCCTCTTCCCTTTTTGTTTCTCGTACTGATTCATGAGGTGGCAAAACTCCTTGGTAATTATAGTGCTTGTCTATAATTATAAAGAAAAATCTATTTGATATTTAAGTTAGTTTTAATTTAGATGCTTAGTATTGACTTGTTGACTGCTCAGTAAAAAGCATGACTATTTCTGAGAAATCATGCATTACATATGCAAAAATGTAATATACAATGTATAACATTATAAGGTAAGTGAAAAGTATGAACTGTCCTACTTCTTCAGAATCCAGTATAACAAATATAAAAGTACTTTATACCCAATAGAATGATTCATGGAAGGACAAATTTTATGTCTCTTTTGTGTAATGTGTCTTGATTTTAACTATATTGGACATTAAACATTTGTAAATTTTCTTACTCCCAATGGTGTGTGGGCTACTTAAGGCAAAGATAATGCCATTAATCCAGCCTCTTGTCATAAAACAGACCCCTAAGCTTGCCAGCTCAGTCTGAAAAAGGTTTTCTTACTATTTGTTAAAATAACGACACAGTCATAGTGGAGTGAACTATGCAGGCATGAAATGATCAGTAGACATAAAATTTAAAAGCTAGAAAGTAATTTCAATTTCCAATGGAAATATCTTGATTTTTATGGGGAAAGCTTTTTTTTTGTACCAAATAATATAAAAGTGACTAGTATTTCAATGTTAAGGGTCTGTACTTATTGATATATAAAATTTCTGATAGAATAAAAATCTATATTATCAAGCTGATTTTAATTGTCTATCCTAAATGTTGTATTGGTGGGCAGATATTATCTGTATCTTTGTGCAAATAATTTTGTTGTCACATCTTGAATGCCTAATATGGCATTCTCCCTGGCTCTGGATTGTTTCTATACTGTCTGAGCACATTTTTCCTGCTTACTGTTTGGCTATTCTAAATTACAATTTGGGGGAAAATTTTTTTTTTTTGTAAAACCATGATATGGATTCATTAAAAAACAAAACAAAACAGACAGACATTTTGAATTGTGCACAGCAACGAAAGTTGCCTTTCATCTAACAGAGTACTGAGCACCTGCCATTGATCTATCCATCTGATATTAAACACAGCAAAGAGATCAGGATTAGTATCACATATCGTAGATGGAACTGTGAATACTAGCAAGGTTAGAAAATTGTCTAGAGTCACAAAGTTTATCATGAGCAAAGCAAAAATTGTACAAGCAATCTTCATTTACCTGCCCACATCTGTGATGTAAAACAAATAATTTCTTATGGTCAATTTAAATTCTCCCCAATAACTAGTACTCATGGAAAAGTCAGCCACGTAGTTTATCTCCACTGACTGTTTTGCTGGTCAGCAGAGTATTTTATAGTTTGTTGATTTTCAGTAGAAGATGGATGGAAACTGTTTTTAATGGTGTTGCTTACTGAAGCATGCTGTAACCTTGAGGTACCCCTCACAAAGGTTGTGGAAAATCTCTTGTAGAACACTGGTAAGGCAATTTGTCCTTGCTTATTCCCAGGAGAGCAAAATCCTCTAAGAAATGTGCTTTTAAATGTTGATGTTGTAATTGTGGCTTGTTGCTGCTGATACCACTGTGATTAGTGATCTAGTACATCAGAATAATTGACCTTGCATGCATTTTGAAAGACTTCTCTACAATGATCCCTTTCCCCCTGCCCCAGCTTCTCTAAATACATCATGCATATTCATTTTCCTATTTTATACTTTTCCAATATATTTCTTTGAATTTTTTGTTTAGTGTCTTAGCTGTGTTTAAATATCCTTTGCTGCTAACCCCCCCCCTTTTTTTTACATGTATGGATCCATCACACAGAAAATCTGATAACTATATAGACCCTGTCGGCAGGAACCATGTTTTGATGTGTGTGACTGCCTATGGTTGCACTGTACAGGTGCTGCTAAACCCTTTTAGCTTTTCTATAGCTTTCTTATGTTTCATTTCCAAAATCATAGCAAAAGAAAAGTCAGAATATGTTAAATTGGGACTAAAGCTCTGCCATCTGGACAAAACCATTGGTAATCCCGTTCTTTAGGCTTGCAGTGTGTTTCATGTTCTTATGCCCATGCTCAAGGACCTATGGCGTGGAGTCTTATGTTCTACTTAGCAACCCATATCCATATTCACGACTGTGCATCTACAGCCTTATACTTGATTTACACACACACACACACACACACACACACACACACAAACATAAACTGATCTTACATGTTCATTTTAATATAAATCAAAATAACTTCCTGTTATCTATAAATTACAGATTGTAACTAAGTTCTTTAGGAGAATTTATCCAATATCCAATATTGATAAAAATCAGATATTTCTGATTGCTTGAAGCATGGCAAAGTTACAATTTGGGTGTCCTGGTTCTGATTTGATGAGCTGTTGTTTAGCTAAACCTAGGAGTGCTAAAAGTAAAATAGTTGTTAAATTATATTTCAACATGGTTTCTCAAGATGAATTGAACTGTGAGAATAAAGATTTCCATTTCAGATTTTACTGCATAATCATACACCATTTTAATGAAAATTGTGATATTCTGAGATTAGAATTATGATTCAGTAATTGTGTTTCTGTATATTATTACAATAATAACTCCCAATGGAAGCTGCATGGACCCGTGATGGTCTTACAATGTACAAGATACAGTATTTTTATGGAAATGGAGAATCCTATATAATGGTAATATGTAAATTGTATATAATGGTAATATGTAAATCCTATATAATGGTAATATGTAAATCCTATAAAATGGTAATATGTAAATTGACCCTAATGGCAGAATGACTGGGATGACTGGTCGCTGTGATGCACACAGACCACTAAGGGGCCAGATGCTCACTGCAGGAGCTGCCCCCTGGTGGTTAGTGTGCTCCACAGGGGGAGTACCATTCAGTCAGAAGCCCGTTCATGGCTGGCCAGCACAGTGGCAGTGGTAGGAGCCTCTCCTGCCTCCACAGCAGTGCTAAGGATGTCCAGCTGATGGCACAAAGTGCACAAATTTTTGTGCACCGGGCCTCTAATGGATATATAATGGACATATCAGGACAACATTGCAGTCTGATGTAACCATAGTATAAAAATGCCTTAACATTAATTTTCTAATAAATTTGAGACAAGTAGTGAGTGTGGGTGTGATATTTTTTGGTGGAGTAAAGCATTTATTTCTCCATGAACTTGGGGCAATCTCTTTTTCCATTGCCGAAGAGAAAGAGGAGCCTGAATGGTTTTTAAAACAGTTGTCTGATCTAGTTAATTACCTACCAATTCATAGATAGAATAATTAAAGTAAGTAAAAAAGTCTAAAGTTATAGCTTTTGACTAGAATCCAAAGTTAATTATTTGCAGTATCCCCAGTAACTTGTTTATAGGTCCCCAAATAGAAAGGTTTCCCAAACATTTTAACAATCTTAGGGAGCTTCTAGTTAACCCATAATTTTAAAAGTAAGGAAATGGAGGGAAAGAGATGATCATGTGTCTTTATTTTGTGGTGGACCTAGTAATTTTCTTCTATGTTTATTTCATAGTTACCTATTTCTCATCTAAAATTTAAGAAATTACATGTGACATATTTGCTGAAGTGGCTTTCTCTAAGTAATAGATAAATTCAATTTTTTCAGCCTTTCCTATGCAAGTCTACTTTGGAGTAGAAATTCTAAAAAATAATTTTATTTATGGTGGTATGAACCAAAATGCACATTAAAAAGTGTTTACCAGAAGTTAACATTTATTGTTGATGAATAAACCCAGAGGAAGCATTTCCACTGAAGTAAATTTATTTAGGTTGCCCATAAATTTAATAAAATGTTATATAGTTATTCATCTGAATTTTAGGTGGTATGAGGCTGATCTTGTGCAATTATTGACTGGGGAATGATTACAGCTGTATTTTTTAAGTAATGGAAAAATTATTCTGGAGAATAACTCCAAAATAATGAAACAAATTCCAATGATATTGATTTTATAGCAATTTCAAGAAATATCTCCACAGGAAGGAAGGAGATTGCCTTCCAGTTTAACAGAATTGCATTTATCATTGCCTTGCTCTTGCATCTGTCCATGCATTTGTGCTTTTGGTGAAAATAGGCAGTTTCCACACTGGAAGGAATTTTTTATTGCCATTATATTAGACTGTGTAAGGCACTTAGTGAGTAGCACTTTGGCTCATGCAGACTGAAATAACCACAATTCATTTCACTTGTTTAAAAATGATGTTACATAAGGCGTAGGTATTAATAGTAACTTAGAGATCATGATACGTACAATCTCTTTCTGTAGTATGTGTGTGTCAAGTATTTTTTCACTGTGGAGTATCCTATATAATAAAGAGCTAATATGCAAATGGTCATCATGCCCTCATGCTGTCACATCATCATGGCTCATACACTCAACACTGTGCGGAGAGGAATGAAGACCAGCCAGGCTATGGCCTAGAAGAGGGATAAGCTGCCTGCCCCATGGTCCCAAGCACCAACAGCTGGGGCTGCAGCCTGAGAGAGGAACAAGTTGCCTGCCCTACGGTCCCAAGTGCCAATGGTTGTGACTGCACCTGTGGCCTGGGAGAGGAGCAAGCTGTGGTCCTGGGCACCGGCATCTGCAGCTGTAGCCCAGGTAAAGCCGTCCACCCACAGTTTCCTGCAGCTGTAGCCAGACTGGACGAAGCTGGCACGGGTCCTGGGTGTCTACGGCCAGCCAGAGAGAAGGAAGCCCAGGTCCTGGGTGCCTGCAACCAGCTGGAGGAGGAAATCCTGGGTCCTCAGGGCATGGCAGAGGCAGTTAGGGGTGATCGGGCAGCAGGGGAGCAGTTGGGGTAGTCAGGCAAACTAGTAGAGGTGGTTAGGGGCAATCAGCAGGCAGGCGAGCAGTTAGGAGCAAGCTGTCCTGGATTGTGAGGCAGTTGGTTCAGACCTTTCATTAACATCAGATAGGAATGCAAAGAAGCTCAGCCATTCCTAGATTTTAGCTTTGAATGAGGGGTGTCGGATTGGAGAGGGTGCAGGCTGGGCTGAGGGACCTCCCCCCATGCATGAATTTTATGCACCAGGCCTCTAGTAGTCTATAAGCATCTAGAAACCACATAGTTAATGTGAAAAGTAAGGTGTCTCCCTTTTGTTTGGGCTTAAATATTTTTTCATCAAAAACTAAGTCAGTGAGGCTACTGCATTATTTTAAGAAATTATGGCCAGTATTCCATTAAAATTATGGAATAAATATGTTTCCTCAAAGCTCAGTATACACATTATAAACATTGAGTCTATTGACAGTATATCTGAATTGATAAAATATTTTAAGAGGCTGTATATTTAAGATATGCTGTATAAACTGAACATAAAGCCATGTTAATCATTTCTTCCTCTTTGGTCAGGCTGTTTGTCACTTCCTCTCATGCCCATCTGGGATTCCTATGACCTGTATTCTCTTTTCCTACTTGGCACTATTTAATTCTTGAAAATCCATACTCTGTCTTATTCCATTCCCCTAAAAGTACTATTTCACAATTCACTAATGAGTACGTATGTGTCATAGACAACCTATCCTTTTCAGTTTTTATACTTCTCTATATTTATGAATCTTTTGCAATTACCAACCCTCTCTGAAATACTGACATCCATGGACAAGTTTTGTCCTTCATTCAAAGCTAAAATCTAGGAAGGGCTGAGCTTATTTGCATTCCTATCTGATGTTAATGAAAGGTCTGTGATGTCAGTGGTTAGGAAATCCAGCCCATCTGTAAGGAGTTTCAGTCTCACCTTGGTCAAAGCTCAGAACCTCTGTACTTTGGCTTCAGGCTGGGGAGTCTGCATTGGGAATGACAGTGTCCGCTTCTTCACTTTCCCACCTTGCACTCAACTCCTTCTTCCCACTCTCTAGGCTGCCTCTTACTTCTCCAGGGCTGGAGTAGATGGCTGGAAGGGGAAAGAGATGAATAGTTTGAAACACTGGTATTGTGCTGACCATGGGTGCTCCTGGTCATTGGATGGTCAGGTGCCATTTGTCTGCCTCTAACCTGTCCTCCCTGAGTTCTTCCCCAGCCCTTCCATAGAGGGCTCCTCTCTTGGTATTGTCTCTCCTCCCTACCCCCAATCAAATGGGTCCTTTAGGATGGGATATTTTATTAATGGAGAAGTTCAGCTCCTTTCTGCAGTGCCCACTTACAACTCAGTCATCCCAGTTATCCTGCTTATTCCACACTCACAGAAAGCCCGTCCTTATCAGTAAATCATCTCCCTGCTCTGTGGCAACAGGATGCTTCTACTTGTGCTGGTGTGAGTGATGCATCAATCTGTCTCTCCACTTCCAGGTGACATGTGTGATGGGTGTTCTATGAAGCTCCCTTGACTTAGCTCCATGTGGATCAAGTAACTTCCTTTGTTTCCCAGGAAAGAGGAAAACTCTCAAAGGGCTCAAATCTCGGGCCTGTCCAGAGTCTCCTTGTCAAGGTGTGATTCCCCTGTCACACACCCTCCAGGTGGGATCACATTGAATTGCGGGACCAGATTTCTCTGCCTCCCACCCTTTCATTTTTCTTCTGGTCAACATTTTATCTGTTTGTCTTATGATGAGAGAGCCTAAAGACCCTTTGTTCTCAGTGGTGATGCCTTAAGTAAAACTGGACAAAAAGAAAACCCTATTTCCTATATGTGTTATTACCATGTGTTTTGTGATGTATACATACATAGTTAGAATCATTTTGTACATCAAATTATGCAGTGTGCTTTTTCTTCCATATTATATGAGCCTCCTTATTTTGTGTCATAAAAAATTATTCCCATATAATTTAAAGGCTTATAAGATTGTACTGTAAGAACTAATTATAATTTATTTAATAAGTGCCACCTTATAAGATTATTTTCAATATTTATTGTTATTAGAAGTAATATAGAATGAATAATTTTGAATATAAATATACATTCATA